AAATAAATAAACGTTAAAAAAAAAAATTAAAAAAAAAAACAGTATGTTATCTAATTATCTTCTACTAGCGAAAGCCTCAGGTTTTCTAATACTTTAATACAAAAAAATTTCAACTTAGTTTTATAGAATGTATAGGAACAAGTATGTTTTCAAATACTGATTGGCCGTGTTAAAGTACCTAATAATAAGTTCAGTGGAATATTTACTTCTTGGGATCTGCTATATTTAATGAGAACTCTTATTTTAATATCAGCCACTAATATGGAAATCATTAACTATTGATATTATTTTATGGGAAATCTAAAAATCTTCTTAGGTTAAATGCAACAGAAGATTTACAGGAATAAGAATGGCAAAATGGCTAGCTTTTTTTAAAGTTAGGGATAATTCTAACCTCAGTCACACACCTCATTTTCAGGATTCCTTCCTTGCTACCTTCAGTGTGCCTGAGAGCACAGCCAGTGGTGTCTGTGCCCGGACATATATCACGGTTGCTCTTTTCAGCACCCACTGCAGTACGGAACAGAGGTTGCTTTCAAGTGCACTTTCCGTTGGACAGACACAAAGCAAATTTTAATATAGTACAGGCTAAAAGTAAATGTATAGAGATGCAGTCTGCCATTCTGTCTTTTCACTTAAAAAGAAGTTAATCATATTAAGACATTCACTTAATTTCTAATTACAGTCCTTGAGTGACCCAGAACTTTCTTTTACACAGGTTATTAAGGTAGAAGGAATCCTCTCTGTTGACATTACAATGAGGAATAATTATTGTTTTGTTTTACCAATTTAACCAGGTGATCTCCAACAGCATCTCCAAGCAATGTTCATATTACTGCGCCCAGAAGACAACATCAGGCTGGTAAGTTAGTGTTATCATTACTAAAACTCTTCCTCAAAAGACTTTCTAAGATAGCAAACATTAAACAGTCATTTTTATGTACCAGCAGAGTGCTGGGAACTATGTGGAACAAAAAAAAGATGGGGCGCCTGGGTGGCGCAGTCGGTTAAGCGTCCGACTTCAGCCAGGTCACGATCTCGCGGTCCGTGAGTTCGAGCCCCGCGTCGGGCTCTGGGCTGATGGCTGAGAGCCTGGAGCCTGTTTCCGATTCTGTGTCTCCCTCTCTCTCTGCCCCTCCCCCGTTCATGCTCTGTCTCTCTCTGTCCCAAAAATAAATAAACGTTGAAAAAAAAAATTTAAAAAAGAATAACATGTCTGCACTATCAGCAAGCTTAGAATATAATTGGGGATAGGAGTTAAGGTGAAATGATGCAAAATAATTTGATGAGTCAGAGCTGTTGATAAGCACCAGTTTGTGAGTTATTGACCATAACAACTGAATTTCAGAAGAAAGAATACTTGGAGACTTGGTTTAGTTAGAAAGGTTTTTATGTAGGGGTGCCCAGGTGGTTCAGTTGGTTAAGTGTCTAACTCTTGATTTCGGCTCAGGCCATGATCTCATGGTTGTAAGATCAAGCCCCACGTCAGGCTCTGTGCTGGGCGTGGAGCCTGCTTGGGATTCTCTCTCTCTCCTCTCTCTGCCCCTTCCCTGGCTGTGCTTGCTCTCGCTCACTCGCTCGCTCACTCTCTCGGTCACTCTCAAATAATTAAACATTAAAAAAAGAGGGGGGGTTACATATACAGTAAAGCTTGAGCTGGGTCTTGAATGATGATGGATTTACATTAGCAGAAAAGAAGACAGTCCTTCTAGATGAGGACATGACAAAGCAAAAGCACACGTGTTAAGAAGGGACAAGGAGAGAGTAAAAGGACCAGGGATTTGTGCTGGTCTCTGAGTCAGGAGACCTGGGCTTCGGCTGTTACTAATCATGTGATGTTGGACAAGTTACTTAGCTTGTTTGAGTCCATCTCCTTTCTGTCTCTCACAGTTAAGAGGACCAAGTAGACGTGAAAGCTTATTGCTGCCTAAATCTGGGGATTATTGTTACTATAAGGAAGATAAGATACCAGAAAAAAGGCAGGCAAATAGGACCTTAATGCTCCATACTAGAGGTCTCAAACTGGCGGATATGTTTTGTTTGGACCACAGGGGTAGTGTTTTTGACTCCAAGCCAGAATTTTGAAGTTGAATGATTTCACATAAAAATCAATACTTGAAGCTTGTCCTCAAAAATCTAAAAATCTGGCAACACTGGAACCTTATTCTCACATGACAAAACTTGCTAGACCTGGAGGAGCAGGCATTGGTATGGCCCAGGCTCTTAATTTACCGTAATCCCCACATATCCTGTGGTCTTCTAGACACTGAAGCCAGGTGTCTCCATTTGTCATCATATCTTCACTGTTTTCTTGTAGTGTAGAACTTTAATTCAAGTAGGAAAACAAAAATGGGATGAGTATGTTTCTTTAAGAAAAGTGAAGAGCATTTTTACCCATTTAGTTTTCATGTGGCCTCCTTCTCTCATTTACATTCCCTATCTGACTGTCTAGATTAATACTTGGAGGTAGTACCTCCGTAAGCAGTAATGAAACATTACAGGGTTTTGAGCAAGGAATTCGATGGAACAGCTATAGTATTTGAGAGGGGTGCCTGGCTGGCTCAGTCAGTAAAGCATCTGACTCTTGATCTCTGGGTTTTGAGTTTGAGCCCTACATTGGGTGTAGAGATTACATCTAAAAAAGAGAGAGAGAGAAAGAGAAAGAGGTTCCTCAGAATCTAATACAGAATAGTGGGAGGAGAAAGCCATTTAAATCATGGGGGGCCACTAAGCAGTTATTGCAGTCATCCAAGCATGTGATGATGGGCCTTTCTAGGTTGGGTGGTAACTTGGAAAGTGGGTTTCTACTGGCACCTTCAGTTCAAATAGTTGATCTCTGCTGTCTGAATGGAGAGAGAGATAATAAGTAGAATACAAGAGTAAATGGAAAATTGATGATCAGATCTCTGAACTCTATAGTGATTAGCTGATTTTTCATTCACTTATTTGTTCTGTGTTTAAATTAGGTCATTTTGTCCTCTCAGATGCTACCTCTGTCACCTTCTTAAAATGACCACCAATTTTTTTGAGAAACTTCCTTTGAAATTTAAAGAATATGAAATAAATCCTTACATCATTATTTTATACCCTAATCTGAAAATTACATCATACACTTATGTAAATCCTGTCTATATTTTTATATACTTCTATCTTAACACTTATTTATAATTGAACAAAGTGGGGTACAGCTCTTACAGCAAAAATGCTCTAAAGCAGGGGCACCTGGGTGTCTCAGTCAGTTAAGCGTCCAACCTCGGCTCAGGTCATGGTCTCGTGGTTTGTGAGTTCGAGCCCTATGTCAGGCTTGTGCTGATGGCTCGGAGCCTGGAGCCTGCTTCGGATTCTGTGTTTCCTTCTGTCTCTGCCCCTCCCCGATTTGTGCTCTGTCTCTCTCTATCAAAAATAAATAAATGTAAAAACAAAATTTTTTAAATGCTTGAAAGCAGATACTCAAACCTTGGAGCCCATCAGAATCACCTGCAAAGCTTTGTTGAACTGCCATTTGCTGGACTCCACCCACAGTGTTTGATTTGGGAAGGGGTAGGCAGTGATAATTTGCATTTTTAACAAGTTTTCGAGTGATGTTGATGCTGCTGATCCAGGAGTCACACTTTGAGAACACCTCCTCTAGAACCCATAATAATGGTCACTTGCGCGTACTAGATGTCCATTAGATATATTTGTTTATAGTTTCCAAAACTTGTGTGATTTGGTAGAGCTAAAGTTGAGGTCTGTCATCACTTACTTTATCTTTTTCTCTTTGATAACCTTCTGGAGTTTAGAATGTACCTCTAAATGTTAAAATAATTTTAACCACAGGAGAGCATTAAGGAAGCAGTTAGGAAGGCAGAGTTGGCAATTAACTGTTTTTCTTCCCCTGCTAAAATGTGCAACTTCAGCTGCTTTACATTTATAAAATACAAATTCAGAAAATGTAACTGATGCCTCTGAATTAATTCAGTTTAAATGACCAGCCATTTTACAGTTGTTTTGAATTGTTACAAACACATAGTCATTATGTTTCAGATTATTGAGTGAGTCATCTTCAAGAAAATGAGTGAATACATTGTGTGACTTTGGACAAATTAGCACTTTTCTAACTGAAAGGAGCATTTGTAGACTCAAAGCAAGGCCTTTTGTTTTGAGTTAAATTTGGAATGCTAAAATTCTCATCCTGGGACTTGTACATAAGGTTAAAAGTTTGATAGTCAACTGAAAGCCCTGCCTTTATTTTTTCAGTAACCAAACAACAAATAGAGGCACCAAATCCCACATTTTGCTTTAGCATTGAAAATAAGACTGAACCAGTTTTTCCTTCAGGGAAGCTCTGCATTCCAAATACAGTCTCAAGCATTAACTTCAGTACTTAGGAAAACTGTAGCTGATAAAATAAAGACAGTGGGTTTTTTGGTATTCTTGCACATTATCAAAGACCCATTTAACATAAAATGGACTGGAGCAGGGGGTACCTGGGGGGCTCAGTTAAGTATCTGCCTTGGGCTTAAGTTGTGATCTCACATTTGTGGGTTCAAGCCCCACATCAGGCTCTGCGCCAACAGCTCAGAGCCTGGAGCCTGCTTCGGATTCCGTGTCTCCTCCTCTCTCTACCCCTCTCCTGCTCACACTCTGTGTGTCTCTCTGTCTGTCAATAATAAATAAACGTTAAAAAAAAAAAAAACAGACTTGGAAATAAAAAACTTTCTTAACATTTGAAGTAAGTTCAATGTTCTTTACTAGAGGTAAGGTGCTCATAAGATACAGGGAGATGTTTTTTAGTACTTTTCACTTTGTAGAAGAGTTTAAGAAAATAAGGAGTTTTTTGGTTTTGTTTTTTATAGTTCATTGATAGTTGCTCAAAATGAAAATGGGTTTATTTTTTCTAAATACAAAAGTTTTAAAAATCATACAAACAGAAAGGTATAAGGAAGAAAGTAAAAAATCACTTTGCATCTTCCACTCTGAAAAAACAATTCTTAGTAATTTGGATAAGCATCCTTCCAGTCTTATGTGTATATATAAAAGTATGTGTCAGATTCTCTGACTCTGCTCTTGCTGAAGTGGATCAATGATAAAAATAGCCAAATCTGAGTATCAGAAAACCTACAAGTCTCCCTGATGTGTGATCTTGGTTTCAGCTTAGGTCATGATCTCACAGTTTGTGAGTTTGAGCCCCAAGTCAGGCTCTGCACTGGCAGCAGGGAGCCTGCTTGGGATTCATTTGTTCTCATTCATTCTCTCTCTCTCTCTCTCTCTCTCTCTCTCTCTCTCTCTCTCTCTGCCTCTCTGCCCCGCCCCTCCCCTGCTCATGCTGTCTCTCTCTCTTTCTCAAAATAAATACATTTGAAAAAAAAGTGACAGTGAATAACTGACAACTTGCTCATGGATGAAGGAAATTAGGGGAAATGTGTGTATATGAAAGGCTAATCAGTTTTGAGCAAGGAAAAGGTTTTACTACTGATCTTTATAACTATGAAGGTTTCGGGGGGCCTGGGTGGCTCAGTCAGCTAAGCATCTGACTCATGATCTCACGATTCATGAGTTCGAGCCCTGCATCAGGCTCCATGCTGACAGTATGAAGCCTGCTTGGGAATCTCTCTCTCCCCACCTATCTCTGCCCCTCCCTTGTGCGCATGCTCTCTCTCTCTCTAAATAAATAAAAGAAAACTATTAAAAAACCAAACAAACAAACAATGAAGGCTTCTTACACTTGATCTGAGCTTAGAATTAAAAGGAAAAGAGAGGGGTGCCTGGGTGGCTCAGTTGGTTAAGTATCTCACTTCAGCTCGGGTCATGATCTCATGGTTTGTGAGTTGGAGCCCCGCAGCAGGCTCTGTGCTAACATCTTGGAGCCTGGAGCCTGTT